TCATTTGTTAGATTTACTTATTTTCTTTCCCATAGAAAGTACAGTTCACTGCTTCCAAGTTTAGCTCTTTTTTGAGAGAACTAGTACTGCCATTACTTTTATATATATATACATTCTCTCTTACAGAAAGTACACCTAGTCTGTGTTGTTATAATTTATGTGGAAGATGCAAAGAAGTCTTTAGGTTTCAAGTAGTTTACCTTTGGAGTTTAGATGAAGTCCAACCAAGAATTTCTAAAACTGGAAATCATTCCATTTAGTTTAGTCAAAACTGAGTGTGATTCATTTAAAATGCGTAAAACTGAGTGTAAAAAGGTAAAAGAACAACAGAAGAGACAGAATGGAGGTCAGGAGAAAAAGCAGCCTTTCTAAGGAGTCCATTTGATCCACATCAGTTCTTGGAGAAGAAAAGAGATGAACAGATGGAATTGGACCGTCTGTGGTCAACCAGAGAAACAAAAACAGGATCGATCATCAACAACAACGGCTGAAGGTGGAACAATGCCTGCCTGGCAGATTAAGGGCTGGAGGAAAGGATGAGTGAAAGTCTACTGTAGCGAGCGTTTGCTTGGAGCGGCGCCACGCCACGCGAGGGCCAGCCAAAGGTCTGGAATAACCACAGACTTCTGGATGTTCTAAATTTAGGCAGATTGATAAGATCTGTGGAAAAAAGGTGGCAGCCAGAGGCCTGAAGCAAACACAAACGGCCTCTTATGCTCAGCTAAATATTTAGAGATTTCAGAGAACAGGAGAGCGCTGCCTTGTTCTGGAGTCTGCTTTCAGAGTTAAAGTCCTGGCTTGGACGAAGCAGCCTGAAACATTTTTATTGATTATGAATCAAGACTTTTAAAGGTCAGAACGAGGATTTGACTAGACTTATCCAGAAAGAAAATATGACTGTAAAGTTTTGGAGTGTTAAACCTTTTTAAGACCAAACTGCAGATGGTAAAAATGTTAATTCACACCAAGAGTGCATTCACAGCAGACATGTTTAGTCCACTTTAATCCAAATCTACTTTGGATTGTGATTGTGAGGTGTGAACGTGCCTCCAAACTCTAATGTGGACCAGAAAGCAAACTCTGGTCTGGCTGAAAACCTGGACTCGGTTCAGATGAAGTGAACTCTGGTGTGGTTTGAATGCATATGTGAATGCGAAACAAAAGCAGGAAGTGGACTAAAGCGCAGGGCATTCTGGGTAAATACAACCAAAGCTAATGAAAGCGTCTAGAACTAGCGGGAAAAATGTTTGTAGTCTTTTTAAGAGAAACCCTGCAACCGCTAAAATCTGACGCAACTCCTTTAGATTTAAATGTTGTGAAGTTGCACTGGTCCTCTTTGAAGCGTGTCGTTTCCTTCAGTAGTTCTTGGTGCAGCGCCCCTCAGGCGACGGGGGGAACAGGTTTTTCTGATCAGTTGGATTGTTTGACACAGTGGAGCGTGACAGCGAACTGCAGCAGCTGAAAATATAACAAATGTTTCAACTTTGGTCAAAATTGAACCGAGTCTATTGGACCATCAGGTTTTATTCTGATTCTTCACCGACAAACTCAGGAAACTCAAATTATTATGATGGATGCGGTGATGACTCCAAACTCAAGTTAGGAATATTCAGGGATTTTCTGTTAAGTGTGATGTGTAGCCAATCAAGAAAGCGAGGTGACGCAAACATGGAGACTAACCAAAATATAAAACATGATGTCAGGATGCACCAGAAACTCCAGTGGATATCAGAAATGTCTTTTTGATTAGTTTTCATCAGTTAAAATAGTCCACAAATTATTCCCACTGATTCTTCTTTGTCAGCCATATTTGTTTACTCTTAACTCATGTTTGATTTTGCAAGATTTCCTCTCTGATATCCGAACATCTGCGGAGTACACTGTAAATCTTACTTTTAAAAAGTAAAAAGTAGGGATTAAACTCAGGTCCATCTCTTTATCAGAGCATCTAGATTTAGGATCATTTTATTTTTGATACATAATTGAGCTGTTCAAACTGCTAAATGCTTGTTTGTATGAGCTGCTCCATTAATCTTGTACTGCTAAAAATGCTGTTCGATGGCATTAAATCTAATCTAACTTCTTATGATAAGAATTCAGATTTATTGTTGTCATAATAAATGATGTTGCAATTGTTAGTTTTGCCTTTTTCTCCACTGTTTCGTCTATGAGAGCATCAATCAATTTTAAATTAGGATTAAATGCAGTTCCTGTGAGCAGTTTAGTGACATAAATCACATTTCTTTACAAATGGGAATGTTTCTGAAGAGCAGTATTTGTGTTTCTGTGCCATGGAGTCGCAGTCATACATTAACCAAAAAAGGAGCAAAGAGTTTTCACTTTTTTTTAACAATGACATCAAAAAAGTTGTGATAAAGCAACTTTTCAGCCCCTAATCTAAAGTAGTGTGACAAATTTATCTGGCTGATAAATTGTCCCAGAAGTCATTACAATAAATGATGTTATTTTGAGACTATTTTCAGTTAAGATAATGATAATGGTATGATAATACAAGAACACAATCAAAAATGAACGAACTTTAAAGTCTGAAGAACATTTAACACTGGAACTGGAAGACATTTCAATATCCAAAATAAATAAACAAAACAACAGAAACAAGGAATAAAATAAACAAAACTGTCCTTTAAGAAACAGGAGATTGTTGAGACCAAAGCACCAGACCTTAGCGAAGACTTTAATCATCAGTTTTTGGTAGAAAGAGAGAAAAACGATAAATCATACAAATGGAAATTATTGAGCTTATTTAAATTTCTCGCCATTAACTGAGACGGGCCCAATCTAGAGATTAAATTATTTCTAAATCAACTGAAAACATTTTAAAACCTCCACAATAAGGCTTTAAACTTGTTGTCTCTAAAGTTAACCTGTATGGTGTCTGAGTGCTAGGGAAAACCTTTGAGCCTCGGCCCAGTCCCAGGACCCCAGAACCTCCCAAAACACCGGGACCCGGGCGGCCAACAAAACGGGCCCGTCAGCTTGATTTATCGACCATTCACCAACATCGACACATCGTCACAGAGTCTCCTGGCCGCGCAAACTTGGAAAACCTCTTCGGAACAAAGCGGCTCGCATCGCAAAGATGCGCTCCGGCAGATGTGCGTGCGCAACGGTTAGGTGTGAAAGCACAAATTGGGGGGTCGCAGGAATGTGCATCTTTTGATATGACAAGAATAGGCACGGAAAAAAAAAATGGAGGAGAATGAAATAAAAAGAGCCGAGGAGCTGAATAACTCCGATCAGCAAAAGGAAGATGCTGGAGGAAAGAGCGGGCAGGCGGGGGTTTGAAGTAAACATCGATGCCAGATGAATGCAATTTTTCCTTTTCTTCTTCTCCCCATCTTTGCCCCTTCCTTCTCCTCCTCCGAGCGAGAGAACAAGAGGCACTGCATCATCCCGACAGGCGGAGAAAGAGAAGAGAAGGAGAGAGAAAGAGGGATTGTGACGGAGGGATAAAGGGCTATCCGTCTCTGTCTGTCACCTCATTCATCGTCCCCTGCTCCGTCCTGCCGGCCCATCCGTCATCCGCTGTCACAAAAAAACCCCCCAAAAAAACAGACACTCTTCTTTGACTTTCACACACTCGGCAACAACAAACACACACATCAAAGCCGGACACACACACACACACACACACACACTCTGACAGCTCTCGGTTTTTAAAAACGGAGTAAACATTTCGGAAGCTGCGAGTTGGGACTCTCCGCCCCGGTTCACACATTCAGCGGCGACGGCGCAAAAAGCTCTTCATGCACGTATGCACTTCCTTCACAAAATTGAAATTTAACATGAAAATGAGACGCAAACAAAAACCTCCGCCCGGCAGCGGAGGGCTGTCCAGTTCTGGCCTGGCGCTGGCTGGTTTCGGACGAGTTCTTTCCCAGGAACCAAACAAAACCGACGGGACACAAGCAGAGCCGCTTCCTGCATTGGGAAGTTTCTGCAAATCTGGCCTCAAGGCCGTCAAGACCCCAAAGAAATACTGGTAACACAGGAAGTCATCCGATTCACTGGAGTTAAAGTTCATGGCGTTATAAAATGTCTTCACCACATTACAGAGGACAGATTTTCATCTTTTTGTCTTTGTCTAAAACCAGGAAGACGGCAAACATCTCTCCAGCTCTGCAGTCCTTAGACTGGCTCGAATTTAAAGTTTGTTGCTTCTTTTACAGCTGATGATTGTGTGATGTTTATGACGTAAATGACTTTTAACTGCCGTGTTACTGAAATGTTCAAAACGAACTCGACTTCCTTAAATGTTTTATATCACAAAACGAACCCTAATTTTATCAAAAAATTAAATTGGTTCTCAAACAATTATGTAATCTATTTTTTATTTTGTTTTTATACTGTTTCTGTCTTTTGGTAAATCATTTTTTGTGTAAATGTTTTCTTTTGCTTTTTTTAATTGAACTGTGCGTCCTGTGTTGTGTGGTTTTGTGCTTTTGTCTTAGGACTGAGGGGGAAATTTAGCTTCTGTGCTATTTACACTGACAGGAACAGTAGTAATGTTGATCGATGTGCGCTAACCTAATCAAATAAATTAAATTTGACTAAACAAAACCAAAACCATCCTAAACCATCATGAAGATTAAACACTCTTACTTGTTACATCATGAATCAACTGTACTTTTTGTGCATAAAATAATTCATAGACAATGAAATTTTAATCTTCTGCCTTCCATTATAAATAAAAGCAAAATAAACATTTACTCCTAAAATGCAACTGCTTTTTACCGCTTGGTGATTTTCACCAAAGGATTCATCTGCAGTAATAAACAGAATAATGAGGTACTGTACCTCTAAAAATTGTGTGCAATTTTCTTTTACCTTTTTAGCCGTTTCTTATTTAACAGCCATTTTTACAGTAAAACAAATGATATCAGAAAAAAGGCAGAAAGGAACAACACAGAATAATATAATCAGGAAATATTAAGACAGATTTATGCATTAAGGGATGAATGAAGCATGAAGACATGATGAAGGAAGAAGATGAAGACGGGGAGAGAGGGAGGGAACAATGAGGAGGAGGAGGCAGAAGAAAGACAGTGAGGAGAAGAAGAAGAAGAAACGAAGGAGTGAGGACCACGAAGGAGACAAAGACCTACTTGTCTCAAGTCACTGAAGGCCAGAAGCAACGTGTCACCCTGGAAGCCTGCGACCGGGCCGGCTCTGGCAAAACCTGTGGGAAAATACAAACCCACCCCCCCACCAGTCCACCCCCGGAGAGAGGGAAGAGAGGAGGAGGACGAGGAGGAGGAAGAGGAAGAAAAAAAAAAAAAAACAGGGTGAAAAACGGGAATAATAAAAGACCTGGTCGGATTCGCTATGCATCGGGACAGATTGGCAGACGAATGACAGCGTGGGGGGGACAAAGGGGGAAACGGGTGGGGGTGGGGGGTTAGAGTCATGTCGCTGGCTGAAAGACAGAACGAGTGTGTGAGAAAGTGTGTGGATGTAAACAAAACTGGGGTAATAACACTGGCAGATTTCACCTGAGTGCGTTTGCTCTGTTTACGCAGCGCTTTGTTAGCATGTCTGCGATCAGATGGGGAAAGCTTGGGTCTGTAATGGCCGCCGGGCCTAAGAGTAGGGCTGGACAATACGGCTAAACAATGGATCAGGTATTTACATGACACAGAAACTAATTCATGTGTTTATTTTGATGTTTATCACTTTAAAATGAATGTTTTCTTTTTTAAGAGATTAATGTCACAGCCATGTTATGACCAATATGGCTGAAAAATGTATCACGACATAAGCATTTCATATCAGTTTATATCGATAATTATTGATTAGTTTAGTTTTATTTGTCTGAAATACGTCCAAACTGGTGGTGTGACCTTTCCTGTTTGATCCAGTTATCACACTGCTTATGAGGGAAACTTTAAACTGCTAATGCTGCTAATTAACAGGTCATTGCTAGGTAACCAAAGAGTGGGAGAGTTAGTTGATTCCAGCAACTTTATTCTGCCTACAACTCCCAGAATGCTGTGCGGTTCCAGGTCCGAGTTCAGTGAATATTCCACATATTGAATTTGTATGTACTGATTTTAATTACATTTCTATTGTCATATACGTTATTGGTTTATTGTCCAGCCCTAATAATGCAAGAATACTTTCTCAAAGATCAAAAGAACATTTAACACCGAAAGACAATTTGAATGTCTAAAAACAAACAAAACAGAAACAGCAAATAAAATGGATGCAGAAGTTTCTGTAAATAAAATTGTCCTTCAGAAAAGTGGCAAATGGAGACCAATGCCATCATAAAAATGGAAATTATTGAGCTTGATTTTTGCAATTCACTGAATTATTAGCTTGAGCTTAATATCTTCATCATAATTCATTTTCGTTGAAAGACTATTTTTTTCTTAATTATCCATTGTATGTATGGTTTCTGTTTTTGTTTTATTTATTGTTTTTGGTAGGGTAAAATATTAAAGAAGTTTATAGGTGCTGTTAAACAGAACAGCTTATACACATTTTTCCTGTATTTGCTTCCCTTTTTCTCATATTTTCTCTCAAATGTAGAGAATTTATTTTATTTTTTGCTGTTCTTCCAGCCGTGCCTCCATTTCTTCCCGCCCGTCACAATCCGGAGATTCTCTCATTAATTTAAGCTTTAATCCCTTTTTTGAACTTCTCATTTCCTTCCCTGTGTGAGCGTAAACTTAGTTTCCATTCTCAGTCGTCTTTTTAGCTTTTTTCCAAACTCTCCTTCTTTATGTTTCATTAAAGTCACACCTCCCTCATTTAATCCCATTTTCCTTTTGTCCAAAACTCTTTCATCCAAATCTACACCAGACATTCTTTTAAACCCTTAAAGCTTTTAGGTCTTTAATTTTCCTCTTTTTCTTTTTTAAATAACGGAGGTAATATCTTAACATTTCGCTCCATCTTTTCACTTCCTCGCTCTTTCTGTTTTGGATTTTTGCTTCTCGTTTTGCCCTCTACTGTACCGTCAGCCCAACTTCCTCCAGTTTGCTTCAGAAAACCAAATCTGCAGCTCTGCACGCATGTCACTTCACATCAGGTCACAAACACGCAGTGTGACCCGCTCTGTGACTCTAAGAACCTTGATCATGTACAAACCGAGCCAACGACGCCTCGCGCTCTTTCAGCTCGCCAAATCCTTTATCTGCAAAAAACTCGTTTGCGTCCTAAAAGTCTCACAAATCAGAGGGACGGAAGGAGGAGGAAGATGATGTACGCTTCTAAACCTTTATTTGGTTGTTCCACAGCGCCCCCTGGGCTCTCAGACGCAAACAGACGATATTTAATAAAATTACTTTTAACTTTAGGAACTTTAGTTGGTGTGGTTTGTGAATAAAGAAGAGGGAAAAAAAAGAAAATGGCGGCAAAGGGAAGATGAAATATATGCACAATACATGTGGAAAGACCAACATTTGAACAAATTAAGATTCAGTTTCATGTTTGTTTTGTCTATTTTTCAAATTACAAAAATGAATTTTGTTAAACTATGACTAAAAAACAAAAAAAAATATTTAAAAAATATTTTGAAATTTTTTTTTTGTTGAAATAAAATCTTAATAAATTTAGTAAACGGAAAAATGTTTTGTTTATTTATATATTTATTAAAAATAATTTAATAAATATATTGCTGAAATAAATTTTGAAATAATTAAAATCTTTTCAATGTACATGTATAATATACATACAATGAAAATTATAGAAATTTAAAATTGATTTATTTTCTTAAAATGCATTAAAAGTATATAACTGTACATTATCTAATGAGACATTTAATACTATGTTTATATTATATTTATTTAATTTTAACCCTACATATAGCTCAGGTTTCATCACTATTTTTTCACCCCCAAGTTGGTTTCTTGTGACCCCCAGTGGGTCCCGACCCCTACTTTGAGAACCCCTGGTTTAAGAAAACCAAGGCAACAGCTTTAATTGGATGTGAGTTGATTCTGCTTTTGTTTCAAACTTAAATTCATGCCTGATGCTTCACTAATTGTGTATTTACTTTGTCCAAGTGGTGCACTTGGTCTTAAATGGTAGAATCATTTCCAAAGATTTATTTTTATATACTCAAATGACTCAAGAATGATAATAAAACTAAATCTCCTGGGTTACAGCAACAACATTAATTAAATATCCAGAAATTTTAGGAATAAAACTGTTTGTGCAACAACAAAGCTGTTAAAAAAAGGTCAACTCACTCTCGCACTCCTTGAGGTCGACGTTGAGCTGGTGCAGAGCACCGATTGAGATCTGCCGGACCTCTGGGTCGAGCAGCAGCTGCATCAGGGAGGTGGAGATGTGCTTGCAGGCCGACATGCAGGCCGTCTGGGCGACTTTCCCCTGAAACACGGAGAGGCAAAGGAAGGAGGAACGTTACTGGCTTTTCAAGCTGATCTTTGGTTTGTCTCTTGGCTGCAAACACAAACCAGCAGTTAGAAAGTTGGTTGTTTTCTAACTGAAATGTACAAATATCACCTAGAACTGAATGTTAATGCACCTAAATAATTAAAAGTGATGCTTCTTAAAACAAATAAAATGGCTTTTCTAAATGTAAAAAGACCATCAGGCTGCACCAGTGTCCCCTAATGAACCAGGGGCTCAGGTGCAGTCAGGATGATAAAGTAGCATAACAAGAACTACAGCAGGAGATGAGGAAGTACGTGACAACGCATTAATTCAAAAAAACCAAAACATGTGTTGGTGTCTGAGCGGACAGACGCTTGTGTAATCTCAGTGATTAGCTGTGGCCTCCGTCCCGACCTCCGGGTCTGCATTCCAGCCCCGTGAAGCAAGCGGATCAAAGATGGACGGAACGGACGGAGGTTGGGCCGACAACCGCCAGAGAAAGTCAAGAGTCAAGCGGAGGAAATCTGCGATGAAACGTGTTTTGTTTTCTCTTAATCATTAAAAGACGATTTTCATTAGACTTCATTTCCTCTTCCTTTAATCCATTAACACAGATCTGATGAGATGTTGCGTCGTGAGCAAAGAATTAACCTTCTTGCCATCGCGAATCGCAGAGACGCAGGAGGGGAAGTGCATGTTTGTACAGAACAGGCTCATTACACAAATGAGTCCTGACGAGACTTTGATGTGTCTGGATTACACAAACAGACACAAAGCAACATGCTTCCAGGTGATTAATAAGAAACAAACGTCAGGGCTCTCATTCATGGCCTGTATTTAATTACCTTCATTAATCATGCTGGACACAGCCAATCAGACGAACACATCAGCTGTTTTAACCGTGCATCAACCTGAAGAGACACTTTCTGTCATTTCTTTCAGCTGAAACTGGATCATGATGGATTATCAGCAGAAAAACGTTTTAGCATTCATTTGCTCTTACGAATAATCTTTATATGTCACATATAAAGATTAAAGTCTCTCATTTCTTGGAAATGAGAGACTCCAGTTCTTCTTGATTTTGTGAATGTGGGTTTGTTTCTGGACAAAAAAGTCTGATCCTTTAATAAATGGAAAGTAAGAAAATTGCTTTTGAGCAAGAATAAAATCTGTTTTTAATGAGGGGATAACATCGTAACGAAAAGGCCAATTTTACAAAATAATGCCTCTTTTAATAATCAGTTGAACATTTCTTTGGATCTGCATGTACCATTTTTAATAACTACCGTATTCCAGCTTGTAGATTCTTGAACTCCTTTTTGTCTTGTAAAACTCAGACTGTGTTGTTCATGAACTGAGACACTGGGAAAGTGTCTGGACCCGGTTGAGTCCAGACGCAGCTTCCACCTCAGACCCAACACACGGCGAACACGTGCGCCGCACACATATTTGGGAAACACAGACGTACGACCGGCCGGATATCCTCCAATCCGACGGCGGCCTCTGAACTCCCAACACACACTCCACACACACTCCGCTCGTCCCAGAGGTCAGTTATCACAGGGGAGATGGAGCGTGAAATGAGCTAATTCTGTTTACACGGCCTGGACCTGGACGGGCCGAGGCGCAGAAACACAAAAACACGTCTGTCTGACACAAACAGTGTCGCCTCAGAACCGATGACTGGCAACCGTTAGAGAGGAGAGGAACAGAGGAGAGCGAAAAATAAGGTTAGAAAAGGAAGAACGTAAAGGAGAAATAAGAAAGGAGGGAAGAGAAAAGCCATCTGAGGCCAGAGTGATTTCACACCAGGTAGTCCAGTAGAACCCGGTTCGATTTGGGACCAAAACTGCAACATTTGTTATATTTTCAGTTGGTGCTGTTCCCCCCCGATTGCACAGCACCAATTACCACTGAAGGAAACAGCACAAAAAACTTTCAAAGAAGAGACGCAGCACAAATTGTAAATGGAAAATGGAGAAGTGTAAGATGTTAACGGTTTGTTTTTGGTAAAAGATAAGACATTTTTACTGCTAAAGCTAGATTAGTGAGTTTTGTTTTGGTGGCATTTACCCAGAATTCCTCCCGTTCACATTTGCTTTGGAGTTCACTTTAACCAAACCGTTTAATCTAACAAGGCCGAATAATATATAAAAACTGGCTATTGTTACTCTTCCTGAACAGAGTGAAGAAAAGCAACATTTTACTGGTTTATTGCTGGTCCATGTCAGATTCTCATGGTCTGACCACTTTTATTAGTGAAAATAACAGTAGCTGCTAAATGTGGCACATTCAGTTTCACTACTGCTCATTGTCGACTTAGACTTTAAAATCAAAGACTTAGCATATAAATAGTCCTACAGCAGAAAAACGCTGAATATAGAACAATTACTCCATTAAGAGTGAACAATCAAACTGACTTTATAAAGCAACTCCAGTCTTTCAAGATGTAGATTGCAGCTCAAGTTGGAGTCAGAAAAACAATGGCCTTCATACTTGACCTTTGATTGTGCCCAAAGGCCTTGACTTGGACTCGTGGTCTGAGACTCGAGTCTTTGTGGCATTTTTATCTCATGCAGTGAAGAGTGAAAACTCGTTCTGCACGTTTTTACTGTGACAAGATGCCATTTAGTATTAACCAGTGACATGATGTTAATGACTGACACATTTCAATTATCATAAATCATAATTCAATTGATCTGAAATGCTGCCAGATATTGTGTTTTAATTAACATGTTTTATAAACACATAGGTGAATTACAGGAAGACTCAGAGCTTATAAGTCCTTCCATAGTGTGCCGGTTTCCTAAGTCTTAAAGCTTCAGGTCGCAGACAGTATTTCCTCCAACTATCTCCTCAAAACATCATATAAATTTTCACTTTATGAATCCAAGTTTGTTTTGGATGATTTGCTGCCACTGCTTTAACTTTGGGTGGCTGTTGCCTTATGCCCTGATATGTGAGTTTATCATGCTTAATATAAAACTTACACTCTTCTGTAAAGTGAGTGTAAGTTTCAGGCTTGGATATTTTGACCTTTTTTGTGAATCTGTTTCACTTTATTCTATATGTAGAATATCAAAATAAATATAAATATTATGAAGTTAAAACAGAAAGTTGTAAAAATGATAAATTTGCTTAAAAACTGGATGCCTGATGAAACATGTAACATATATGCACAAACGTGCTTGATTTGAATTCAGCCTGATGTTGCTTTTGTTTAGTTACATGCTTTCAAATATTAGATTTTTTTTAAAAAGATGTTTTTATCCTTTTGGTTATTTTGGGTGTTGCTGCTAAATGTGGAAATTCAGAAGTACTTCTACTGGGCAGCTGTTTCAGTTCCCAAGATATTTCAGTAAAAATTAGTTGTACTTTTTTTAGTTTTCTAGAAATTTCCCCCCATTAAGACGGAGATAAGCAGGAAACACTCAAAGCCCACTTTAGCTATGTATGCAGTTTAACTTTGATGGGAGTATTTTCTTTCCTTAACGTCTAAATCTACCCCGACTTTCAGAAACGCCTTTGAAAACATAAACCAAACTAAAGGCAGAAAGCAAATTAACGCTGAAAATACTGAGAAATCAGGCTTTACTAGGGAAACAAACAATGAATAAACTTACAAATAATACAAAAACATCTCTGTTAATGCAGTATTATTGCACATTTTAGACTTTTCATCTATTATTTTATATCCTGCAACCTAAAAGGGTTCCTATTTTTAAGTTTGTAAGTTTAATTTCTTTTGTTCATTCTGTCTGTGTTTAATGCAGTCGACACAAAATTTGTTAAAATATGCTTTCTTAAAATTCAGAATATGAAAAATGTTTCATGTTATGGAAAGGCAGTCCTCTCAATACAGGAAAAATGGACGCCTAACCGTTTGTAGTCATTAATCGATAATTTTATGCAACAAATGTAAAAAGATTTACAAGAACAAATAGAAATTAGGCCAGTAAAAATATGTAGTCTGATGAAACAATCTGCTTTAATCTGAAGACTAAAAGCAATGATATTTTGGTGTAATCGGTGTAACTTTCCTCTCCTTTAATCTTTTCTGTAAGTTTGATTTGCACCAGATTAAATCAATAACCTTGAAGTAAAAAGATCCCAATGATAAATCAGAAAGAACAACCTGAACCTCGTGTGTAATTTAGTATAATATAATCCAATGTCACTCAGCTTTACGTGAATTTCCCATCTGAGAGAAGCAGACTTGCATTCCAGCCTTTTAATAACAGAAACAGGTCGGGGTAGAGGACCAGCTTCCCTGATCCAAGATGGGATTCGACATGGTGCGTAATTCAAGGCCAGGCAGGACAGCCAGACGTCGAGAGACAGCTTGATGCTGGAGTTTTAGACCCCATCTCAGGGCTCCTAAAAATCTGGATGAAAACTCACAGCTACTGGAGCTTAAGGTGTTTTATGACTCTAATACCAACTGACCGATGAGAATGACAGTAAAAGGATTAAATGCTGCAAAGCCATAGATGATTTTTACATTAATGTCACCCAATACCCAGTAAAATATTTGCTCTAGACAGAATGTGAGCAAGCATTTTCACTTCACCATCAGGGGTGGGAATGTTTTCACATGAATACTTTCATTTCGGTTTCTCTGACTTGATTTAATCCAAAAACTAGAATAAAAATATTACCAAAAAGCGTATTTTTCAGTAACTCAATTGAGAAAGTTGAAATTATTACAAAAGGTCAATAATTCCACAAAGTTTGCTAAATTTTAAGAGTTTACTTTGATGTTTACGCCTTAAAGCCAAATACAACAAAAAAGTTAAAAAAAAAGTGTTAAAAATGAATGTTTTTTTAACAGATTAAAGTAAATGCCATGTTATGATCAGGATAACTGATCACACATCATATAGTACTTCGATAGATAATTGTTGACTAGTTTTTTTGTTTTGAATATCTAAAATATTGACCACTCATGGCGTGAACTTTCCTGTTTTATATCCTTTATATTCCTGTTTTTATTG